GGCCGCCAAAGATGGGAGTTATGCCAGTAAAACTAGTGGAAAAGGGAATCTTAGAAGGGCTTTTTACTGAACAGTGAACTGGCAACAACAAAACCCAGTGTTAAATAAAACAGTGTTGGAGAATATTTCCAGTTCAGCTACTTTGGTCTGTGTCCTGCCACTTTATTGCCAGCTCAGTCTGGTCTAGTATGAGGTTTGGTGTTGGGTGGGAGTTTGTGATGGTCACATGAGGGGGAAAGTGCTGGTACCTGTCAGCATTTCAAATGACCAAAGAGGGAATACTTGCTGATAGGGGCAGTGTCTGTTAGAGCCATTAGAGGTAATTCCTACATAAGTTTTGACATGTGGCATAAAATGATGACGCTGAACGCACCCAATGCTTCTCATAGAAGAATTGGTTTGGTGGGGTGTGGTAATTGCTGTACATGTACCCCATATCCCCAATTGGTTCGTTATGTGAAGCATGGGACAGGTGAAAGGCCATCAGAACTGGTGACTTAATTGGAAGCAGAAAAACAACTGCAAGGCATCTGTCCCAGCAAAGGCAAATTTAATAACACTTTTTAAATGTTATTTTTGTTTTGTTTTTTTATGAAAAGGTGGTGCCCTAAATCTAAAAGGGAGGGGAAAAAAACACTAAAATTAAAAATATATACACAGTATATTGTAATTTCTTGCTTTATTTGGGATGACTGAGTGGTGAACAACAGCGATGAATGACTAAAAAGTGGACAATACACAAATCTGCAAGAGAAGCAAAAATGGATTGATGTACAAAAACCCAATAATATAAGGGAGGATTTGTGACTTGTGCTGCAAGGTAGTCAGTCCACCCAAACAAAGTGGAAATGTGAATGTACTTTTCCTGTGTTTTGAGATTGAATTCCTCGTGGTCCTAACCTGTTAAACCCCATGCATGTATCATCCTGGAGGTGAGGGAAAGGTTGCTTAAAGGACCACTATAGTGCCAGGAAAACATACTCGTTTTCCTGGCACTATAGTGCCCTGAGGGTGCCCCCACCCTCAGGGACCCCCTCCCGCCCGCCCGGCTCTGGGGAGAGGAAGGGGTTAAACACTTACCTTTCTGCAGCACCGGGTGGGGAGCTGTACGCCTCCTCTCCTCCTTGCTCGCGACGTCATCGGCTGAATGCGCACGCGCGGCCGCGCGCGCATTCAGCCGGTCGCATAGGAAAGCATTTACAATGCTTTCCTATGGACGCTTGCGTGCTCTCACTGTGATTTTCACAGTGAGAAGCACGCAAGCGCCTCTAGCGGCTGTCAATGAGACAGCCAGTAGAGGCTCTGGAGGCTGGATTAACCCTCAGTATAAACATAGCAGTTTCTCTGAAACTGCTATGTTTATAAAAAAAAGGGTTAATCCTAGAGGTACTTGGCACCCAGACCACTTCATAAAGCTGAAGTGGTCTGGGTGCCTAAAATGGTCCTTTAACTCCAGCTACAAGGAGGAATGGGAGATTTAGCTGCATTAGTCAATAGGATAGCCAATGAGCATTTGCTGTTGCCAATGAATGATTGGAAATCCTTTTGCAAACTTGATTCTGGGTCAAATTAGGGAAGATAGTCCGTCTATCTGGCTTTAATCACTTGTATCCCTTGGCAATAGGTTACAGTAAAGGACAATTCAAATATCTTTATTTTTATGGTCGAGTATACCTTTCAAGGTACACTCTAAGAGCCAAGCCACTATAGCTGAATAAAAAAAGTTTTGTTGTATAGGTCAGGGATAAGCAACATTTGGCACTCCAGATGTTTTTAACTACATCTTCCATATTGCTCTTACATTCATAATGCTGGCAAAGCATTAGGGAAATGTAGTCAACATCTGGAGTGCCAAAGTTTGCCCACACCTAGTATAGACCATGCCCCTGCAGTCTCCCTGCTCAATACTCTGCCATTTACGAGTTAAATCACTTTATTTAAACACTAGCCCTTCCCTTTCTGTGACTCACACAGCCTCCCTACATACATTCTAAAAACTAAGTCTAAATATTATAGCTTCCCTTATTGCACAGTGTGATTATTTTAGTGTTTCTTATCTCCAACTCTGTTACTAGTTTGATCCTGCAACAGATTTCTGTGTATTTTTAAGAGAAAAGGCAGTATTAACATTACTGCCTAGTAACACCCCTAGTGGCAGTCACCAGATGGCCTCTAGAGCTGGTTCATAGGTCAGTGGCACGCACAGTTCAGCGGAAGCGCTGAATGTTTTTCATACACATGTATTGGTTCAAATCCCGGCAGGGTCAATTCAACCGTTCATCCTTCCGAGGTTGATAAAATGAGTACCATGAATTGGGTTAATAACATCTATTATTCAGCTGCCGATTCGGTTTATCCGGAGAGTGCTTTGAGTCTCACTTGGAGAAAGGTGCTATATAAATATTACTATTGATTCAATACATCTCTATGACGAGATGCTGATTTTGCCGCGTATGCACAATAGTCCCCAAATGCTTTTCTATGGGAAAGCATTGGATTGGCTGAGGTCCTCAAATTTGATGGGCTCAGCCAAGGGTGTGGAGCATGGGCAGGGCCGCAATAAAGGTGAGTGAAATCATCTTTCACTTAGCTGTCAGGGGGGGCAGGGACTTAAAATGTGTTTTTCATAACTATAGTGACAGGAATACATGTTTATATGCCTGTCACTGTAGTGTTCCTTTAACACTACATATTGCTAATAAACAAATACATTTTCTTCTGCAATAGGGACCACCCCCTAAACCTGGAGACCTTATTGAGTTTATCCGTCCTTTTTATCAACATTGGGGAATCTATGTGGGAGATGGATATGTT